TTTTTTTTTTTTTTTTTTTTTTTTTTTTTTTTTTTTTTTTTCACATTCATTGCCTTTATGATTAATTAGTAATTTATTACAGCATCACTACATCGAATACGGGGGCCAAGTCCCAGTAGTAGCGTGGAGTTTACTCAACGCCTGAATCCGAACGTGTTTGTGGGAGATGTGCGGTTGAGGAAACTCCATGCAATTTCCGCACATTTCTCAAACATGTCCAGATTCAGGCGTTGAAGTAACTCAACACTGCTTGTGGGACTTGGCCCCGGTACCAGTTTTCCCTTCCTTTTTTTTTTTTTTTCCGCCCGTCCTCGTTTGGTTTGGGTCCGAACTTTTGAGCCTCTGAGCTCCTCTTTCCCCCTCCCCCCACCCTTCCCTTCACACTTCAAAGGGCGTACTCACACTGAATCTTATCGTAAATGTATCTGACCGCATTTATGACGGGACCTCGATGCATGTGACCGCAATTACGGCGAGAAACAAAGTAAAAAAGTCCGAGTGTGAGTATGCCCTGACTCGTGAACCCTTTGATTTGCACATGAACAACACGTCGGTAGAATTCCTGCGCGTCTGAGGGCATCTTCACACTGGGACTTCCCAAGATGTACCTGGCCGTTAAATGGATCTGACTGCATTTATGGCCGGACCTGGATGTATCTGACCGCAATTACGTTCATAAGTCCTAGTGTGAGTATGCCCTGACTCCTGAAGTCTTGATCGGCATATGATCATCATGCATGTAGAATTCCTGCGCGTCTGAGGGATTCACACTGGGACTTCCGCAAGTGTACCTGGCCATAATTACGGCTGGACCTGGATGCATTTGACAGCAATTACGTCCAGACGTCAGTCGGATAAGTGAGTATGCCCCCCCTGACGGCATCTTCACCCTGCGGCTTTGCGGGATATATATATATATATGATATTTATATATATATATATATATATATACACAGCCCCTCGTTTGTTGTCCTCTTCTCCCTCTCTGCCTACGGTTTACCGGGCAGTTCTATTTGACGATATATATATATCTCGTCATATAATATATACACCTACGAAACAGTCTGTCACAGCCCCTTTATGACGATATACATACATATTTGTATATATATATATCTATATATATCTTATAATATCTATATATATCGAGTCTAACCAATAGACGTATTGGAGGAAAAAAAAGAAAAAAAAAGAAAGGTCATGAGTCCCTGTGCAATCTGTCCCTCAGTGAGCAGCCAGCCATACACGGTGCTAATTTACCTCCCCTGGAGACTATGGGCTTTCGTAGATGCATCTGGCGATAATTTGAGCCCGATTCAGTCGAGAAAGTCCCAGTGTGATTATGCCCTCTTGGTTTTTGCCCATTCTTCATTGCTCTCTTGTTTGTTTCCCTTTTTCCTTTTGCCTCCCCTCCTCCCTTGCCCGCCAAATGTTTTCTTTTCTTTTCTTTTCTTTTTTTTTCTTTTCTTTCCTTTTCTTTCCTTTCCTTTTCTTTTTCTCCCCTAAAGGTTCTTCTTGTCCATTGTAAGCATTTGCATTTGATTTTTTGTCCCCTTTGCAAACATTTGTTAGTCGAGTGTGGTACACCCATATTCAAGTCCAGTTACGTGGGGCAGTACGCTCTGCTTTTTTTCCCATGAAATGCAGACCCAGGTTCGAGTCCAGATACAAACACAACTAAATGAATTGAGATCCAAATTCTTGTTCTTGAATTACGTGGGGAGACGGTCAGTTCCACTATGATAGCTCAAGGCGGCCGTCCTTCGACAAAAGGAAAACCAAAAAAAAAAAAGAAACTAGACGAAAGGACATAAGAAATGAAAAAAAAGAAGAAAAGAAAAATAGAAATAAGAAATGAAAAGACAAGAAAGAAGGGAGGGGAACGAGAGAGGGAAAAAGAAAAAAGAAAAAAGACAAAAAACACGAAAGCAAAGGACAGGACATTCTTTTTTCTTTCTTTCTTTCTTTCTTTTTTATTTTATGTTATATGTTTTTCACTATACTTTGGGTTTTCAAGAGGGGCAGTACACTCTCCTTTTTTTTTCCTTCTTTTTTCCTTTTTAAGCCCAGGGGGTTGTAGAGGCCAAGGACCACACCCGTGGTGATTGCTGGCAGCGCCGGCCAATGATGCTCTTGTCTAGACCTGTCTCTTATACACATCTAGATGTGTATAAGAGACAGGTCCTACTCCATGTCTGCGATTCACTCCTACCGTTTATCTTTTTTTTTTTTTTTTTTTTTTTTAAACAGGCGGCCCCCTGGCTTTTTTTTTTTTTTTTTTTTTTTTTTTTTTTTTTTTTTTCCTTTTTTCTCAATTGTTGTTACACTCATTATAAAAAAAAAAAAAAAAAAAAAAAAAAAAAAAGCCTATACAGGGACCCCTGCAAGCATAGCTACCTCTTCCGTTTAGGATGTCTTTTGTCTTTTTTTTCTTTTTCTGCCGTTTAGGAAAAATGAGGAGTGTCGTGTTTTTTTTTTTCCACCTTCTTCCCCCTCCCTCGAAATTGCAGTTTCATTAACAGGGCCCAGTGGGCTGTTGTGGCTTTCCTGGTAGGTGCGTACTATTCGAGATGAAGCTTTAGGAGAAGGTTTCCCCCCCAAACGTAGAAGCTTATAATAGGGTACTTAGTGTTGATTTAATTGCTGGTTCACATCAATGACTTAGGGGGCGCGGCTCAGCCTGAGGGTCAGGGTTTAGGCCTGTTGGCCCCTGGGGTTCCACTAGTAGCAAAGAGGATAGAATCAAGCACCTGAATCTGGATGTGTTTTATGCAGAGGTGCAGAAAAGCAGTTCAGTTTCGATTTCCTGCTCCTCTCCACAATTACGTCCAGATTCAGGCATTCGATCCGATCCTCTTGCTGGTGGGACCGCGCCCCTGGGGTTCCACTAGCAAAGAGGATTTTAAATTTTCGCCCGAATCTGGACGTGTTTGAGGAGAGGTGCAGAAAAACGGGATTGATCTGACTTTCTGCATCTCTCCGTAAAACACATCCAGATTCAGGCGCTTACTCCAATCCTCTTTGCTGGTGGGAGCTCGCTCATGCTATGAGGTGCGAACTGCGCTCTTGATTGATGTATAGCCTCGGGCACTGGGCCCGCTTACAAGTGAAATTTCGAGGGGGAAAAAAGAAAAGCAAGAAAAAAAAAGAGGACGGGCAACTTTTTTTTTTTTTTTTCCTTCAANCCCCCCCCCCCCCCGCCAGTCGGCGGACGACTGGTGGCTTTCGTTGATGCATCTGGCGAGAATCTGGGCCAGATTCAGTCCAGAAAGTTCCAGTGTGATTATGCCCTCTTCGTTTCCGCTTCTGCCCACCCTTCGTTTATTTGTTTCCCTCTTTCCTTTTGCCTCCCCTCCTCCCTCCCCCCTTCCGTGTCCACTTGACCGACTCCCAAGGATGACTGCTGGCTTGCATTAGTGGGTGGTGTGGGAATTCAGGATTTTCCTTCTCGACAGAGGGCAGACTTGCATTTGAGAGCTATTCCGACCGACGGAATGTGACCGTAATTACGGGCACGTACATCATTTTAAGTCCTTGTGTGAGTATGCGCTCATATTCTGCCTGCATGAGCAAGAGTTTTGCAGTCCCCCCTCTCTCTCTCTCTCTCTCTCTCTCTCTCTCTCTCACACACACACGACATCGTGGTCTACGTTGGACAAATCCCTGTCGGTGTGCTGGTGGTGGGTATCGAACCCTTGATCGCTGGATTGGATTTATCAATGGGATATATATTGCTGTGTCAATATTTCAGCGCACTGAGTGAAAGGGAACGGCTGTTTACGGTTGTTGTTCGTTGTTTTTTTTTTTACTGTTTTTTTTTTTGGTTGTTGATGCTTCCCCCCCCCCCCCCGGGTTTCTTCTCCCTCCTCTCCACGCCAACCCCCTCACCCACGCCGAAGAGCGGCGCTAGAAGCGAAAGGATGCCGGTGATGTAATTTCGTTTCCTTTGCCCAGCTTCCCGCCTTTTTTCCCTTCCTTCTCGTCGTCTTCTGCCCTCTCCATCTCCTCTGCCTTTTTTTTTTTTTTTTTGGGATCATTCCCCCGCTCGGTCAAACCGAGGGCTAATGCTGAAGGTAACGTCTCCCCCTTTGGTCGCTATTTCGGCCTTCACTCCAAGAGACGAACAGAGCTGATGATATACATATATTGGCTCCTTTGGTGGAAAATATTATATATAATATATATGTATTATATATATATTATCTTATATATATATCTATATATTATATATATATATATATGAGTATCAGCCCAGAGAGAAATATAACCCTAAGAGCAGTACGAGTTTTCTGCGGATGGAGTCTAAAAGCAGACCAGCAAGTGAACGTGGTGGTTTTCGTATATGCAGCAAAGGATGAAAAGGCAAACGAATAATCGACTGCGGTGTGGTCTGTTTGCAGGGTGAAGAATGCGACGCTTACGATTTGCATTTTCTTTTTCGTCGCCCTGACTGGCGGGCTGTCAGTGAATTTTTATATGTATGTACATATATATATGGATATATATGTGTCCGTATATGCATGTATCTATATTCTCTCTCTCTCTCTCTCTCTCTCTCTATATATATATATAGTTTGTGACGATATATATATATGTATGTGACGTTAAATAATACTTCTCCGCCCTTCACTCGCTGTTTTCTTCACGTCATCGAGCACCTCCCTTCCCCTCGCCATCCCCAAGTATCTTCTGCTGCTGCTGCCCAGCTTGCTCGCGAACTCGTTAATCGTTGATGATGCGTTAATTGCTGATGATGCGCCGACCAACCACTGAATAAAAAATGAGTAATTTACCGATCAATTGGTCGGCCAGTATCGTTTACTATCAATCAAATCAATCAATCAGTAAACCCATTCGTCAATTATCCAACCCACTCAACTATCCATCCATCAATCGCTTAATCATCCAGTCAATCATTCAAGCATTTAACCAATCAATCCATGAATCAATCGTTCAGCGGCTGGTGGCTCGTTCTCCTGTGCGCTTTGCGCCAGGCTAATTACACATGCTCCGCTACCGGCTTCTCTCTCTCTCTGTATTTGTTTTCGTTTTCTGTCTCCTCGGTCTTTTTCCTGTTGCAGTAATAAGAATAAGAACATCTGGAGAGGAAAACAAATACTCTATTTCAGTAAACAGTAAAAGGTAAAGGAAAATTACGAAATTCCATCAGGTCCTCGTCCGGACAATTTCCGCTTTTCTCGTTTTTTCGCACAAGCCGGGCAGTCATTCTCCGCATCAGTATTACCATAATCTGGATTATTAGCATGTTGTCCCCCTCCCCCCCCCCCTTATTTTCTATTTAATGTTCGGATAATTTTGACATGCAGTAATTTCAGGTAATTTTCAGACAAACTTCGTATGAAGAAATGTAAATCTGTTGATGCGTGTACGAGAAGCAGTCTATGGCCACTGTAAGATAATTTCCAGATAATATTGGAGATAATGTTCGGATATTTTTGACAGACAGTAATTTCAGGTAATTTTCAGATAAATTTCAGATAAACTTCGTATGAAGAAATGTAAATCTGTTGATGCGTGTACGAGAAGCAGTCTATGGCCACTGTTTTCACTATTCGTATGGACTTTTTCAGATAGTATTCGTTATTTCCGGAGTAGGACATGCTAAGTAATACTCGTTATTTCCGGAGTAGGACATAGTAATATTCGTTATTTTTCCGGAGTAGGACACCGCGAGTGAATGATACATGACGTCGATTTCTACGATAGGGGGGCGGTTTTGCGTGAATGCTCCGCCCTTCATTTTTTCTTCTCTTCCCTTCCCCCCCCCCCCCGTGAGCCGACGAACACGCCCGTTGCGAAGAAGCGAGGTAATTATAAAACTGCTGATTCACCTAAAAGGGAAAAAAAGTCGAAGAAGCGAGGGAAACGTGGAGTGCACTGGCGTTTGTTAGCGTAGCAGCTCACCCAAACAGAAAGCCCGGTAATTGTTGCCGTATCTGGACTGAAAGTTGCACCAAATACAGCGATAATGACCTGGCGTTCTAGCTGAGGTTTTCATTTTTAGGTTATCGCTTCTGCTTAGGGCGGGCACAGCCAGCGCGCGTTGCAAGCAAGGGCGGGTAGCAGCGTGACCTTGATTTAGAGAACATCGTCAAAAAATGGTGGTGAAAGAGATCATCGTCAATCAACGTGGTACTCTTTTTTCTTTCCTTCTTATTTTTGGTTTGTAGGTAAGTTTCTTCTGAGGATTGCAAAAATGACAGTGACCCGTCGGAAAGGGCCGCGGGGAGGAGGAGGAGGAGGAGGAAAGGAGCTGTTAGCGAAACGATTGTCATGTGAAAAACGTACCGAGGACGTGCCTTTCAAACGAAATGTGTGCTATTCCATCTGGTGTGGGTGAGTGACAGTCTGCTTTGATTGTCGTCACGGGTACCTTGAGGGCAGTGGTTGGTGCCCACCTCCTCAGAGGGGTATCAGTTGTTGGGCAGTCGTTGATGCTTAACCACAACCGGGGTTAAGGTGGATTATCACTTACAGTGTGTAATCAGTTAGGTAGGGGATTCTGCAGACCCTTGTTGAGGGTTCAGCCTCTACTGATTGATGAGTCTGTTGGTGAAACTCCGACGAAACAGTTTGTCACAGCCCCTCGTTTGTTGTCCTCTTCTCCCTCCCTCTCTGCCTACGGTCTTTCGGGCGGATCTGTTTGACGATATATATCCGGGGGATTTTTTTTATTTTTTTTTGCTTTCCATAAAGAAGATCGAAGACGAGCAATGGCCAATTGCTCTGCTCACGCACGCACGTGAAAAGTATTCTACAATGAATCATACAGGCGTCTTCTCAAGCTCGAAACGCGTCCGCATTCCTCCTGGTGCGTTTCAACCTGGTACGCACCGGTCTTTTCAGGGAAATATTTTCGCGCCCATTCAGCTATTGGTGATTTCCTCCTGTTTCTTCCGTCTCTGGATGCTGCGCCTGCTGCTGCTGTCATCGCCGCCGCCGCCGCCGCCGCCGCTGCCGCTACCGCTGCCCTCTCGTCGCGTTTCTTTTTCTTTCCTCGTTTTCTGACCGTAACTCGTTTGTTTCAGCTCCCGGAGGTTCTCTTCTTGTCTTTTCTGGGAGTAAAACTGGATTAAACCTGTCTCTTATACACATCTAGATGTGTATAAGAGACAGTCTGTGTTGTTTGTGTGTTTCGTGGAACTCTCTCTCTCTCTCTCTCTCTCTCTCTCTCTCTCTCTCTCTCTCTCTCTCTCTCTCTCTCTCTCTCTCTCTGTGTCTCCGATACATGCGCTCTGGAGCTGGTTTGTCTTTTCCTGTGTGTGTCTGACGCATGCGGTGTTTGACTGTTTGGTGGAACTTCCAGGCAACAGGGTATACAGGGGGAGCTCGTCCTTGGGAAAAGGAGTTTCACGCCGATTTTTTTCCCCTCTGAGGTTTCACTCTACAGGTGCGGGGATTTGACACACACATCTGCGGTGCGAGGCACAGAAGGAAGGAAAGCAATGGCCAACTCTTGTTTCTGAACGATTTACACACCACTCGTGCTCCGTGAACTCAGCTCGCGCACAGAAGAATCCCTACAAGAAGGGAACGGAACTTGTCATCCCAATTGGAGAGGCGCGCGCTCTGCAATGACGCTCGTCCCGCCGCTCGATCCATCAAACTCAAAGGCTGCGCGTCTGGCAATGGACGCTTGCTTGGCTGCCACGGACGACGGAGCCTACCAATGAACACAAGTTGTCTACATGCACTCAAAGACAAAGACATGCGTTTCTGAATCTCTCTCTCTCTCTCTCTCTCTCTCTCTCTCTCTCTCTCTCTCTCTCTCTCTCTCTCTCTCTTTCTCTGTCTTTTTGTGCGTGCGTGCGTGCGTGCGTGTGTGTGTGTGTGTGTGTGTGTGTGTGTGTACATACGTAGTGTTTGTTGCATATGTATGTGTATATGTATATGTACTTGTTGTACGTGTCGACTGCATGGGGAGGGTCTGTGCCGTCGGCCGTCACTCGCTCGGGCGGAGGAGTTCAAAAATGGGGCGGCGGCCAACAAGTGGGTTTTGAGCGGGGGAGCGAGCGAGCCAGCAAACAACGAGAGCGTGCGTGCGTGAGTGAGGAGGCGGCGGGATGAAGAGATGTCATTGCTGAGGGGCTTCTGCATCGATTAGCTGGCAAACAACAGCCTCTCCGCTTTCCCCCAACTCCGCCCCCCCTCCTCCCATGCGAGCGCCATGGAAAACTTGAATCTGCGCGCCGGCCGGCAGTTTTCGATGCGGGTGATGCGACTCCAACTACGTTGGTATGACCTGTTGAGTATGGGTGTGGATGGTCAATAGATGGAAGAGTGAAAAGTGAGTGAGCGTTTTGATCGTTGGTTAAGTACAACCTGCCGTCGACGGATGGACAAACAGACGGACGGACGGACGGACAGAAGGAAGGAAGGACGGAAGGCTGGTGTTTAAGAAGGAGAGAATCGCTGTAGCAGCATGGTTGCAGTAAGAGAGAAAGGAAAAGGTGGAACTGAACGGAGTGTGGATTGTAACGAGAATAGGGTCAGGTGGGGAAGTAGTAGCGTTGGGGTTACCTTTCATGTGCCTGTCTTAGAAGGAGGAGAAGGACGAGGAGGAGGAGTAGGAGGAGAAGAATCAGGGAGTTTTAAGCCGGGCGGTGGAGGAGGAAGCTTGATATGCAATGGGACTGTCGAGAAAGACGAACGGATGAGAGTAGGAGAGAGAAGCGAGAGTCGAAGCCAGAGCTGGGCTGACGACACAGAGGCGGGTGTGATTGATTGACAGAAAGTACGATCGAAGGAGGTGAAGACGATTGATAGATTTATACCCGAGAGAGAGCGAGAGCGAGAGCGAGAGAGAGATTGTGTATGTGTGTGTGTGTGTGTGTGTGTGTGTGNTGTGTGTGTGTGTGTGTGTGTGTGTGTGTGTGTGTGTGTGTGTGAGAGAGAGAGAGAGAGAGAGAGAGAGAGAGAGAGAGAGAGATGCATGAAGGTTACGTGAGCGGGCGGACGAGGGGGCAAGAGGAATTGCTTGGATCGTTGGAATTGTAGGGGGGGTGTTCGCTGTCGCGGGAAGAGCAGGAGGAGGGCGGGGAAAGGAGGCATATTCATCAATCCACCGGGTTGGTGAGGCGAAAACGATGATGCGAACCTGCAACGTAACCATAATGGAGGGCGCCGGTGCGGGCGAGGGAGGAGGAGGAGGAGGAGGAGGAGGAGGAGGGAGAGCGGAGGCGACCTCGGCGGCGATGTATCATCACGCGTTCCCCATGATCGACAAGAGGAAGTCGCCCCATGTGTACCACAAGCCGGAGTGCAGGTGTGTGGTTTGCGTGCAACGACGAAAGAAAGAGGGGAGAGAGGAGGTGGAGGCGATTGACTCGTCGTCGCGACTGGCATCATCGCTTATGCATCGGCAAGAAACGGGACGGGAGAGAGAAGATGCGGAGGCGCGACAGGGAGGAGGTGAGGGGGTGGGAGGAGGAGGAGGGATGGGGAGGGGTGGTCGCGACTGGAATAACAGTAATTTTTACGGCGGTAATAATGCTAATACTAATAATAGTAATAACAGTGGAGGCGGGAGAAGGTTTGACGGTCGCATGATTGGAGGAGAAAGAGAAATGGAGAGGATTCCTTCTCGGATGGGCAGCGGCGTGCACGGCGGCGGCGAGGGGGGAGGGCGGGGCCTTGCTAATCTTTCCTCCGCTCACCTGGAAGTTACTGGCGGCGGCGACAGAGGAGACGGTCCAGGAGAAGGAGGGAGACGCCAAGAGAAAATAAGGGAAAGGGAACTGGAAGAGGAGGAAGAAGAAGACGATGATGATGATGAGGAGGGGGAGGAGGGGGAGGACGACGAGGAGGAGGACGACGTGGCAGAGGTTGAGGAAGGGGACTGCCAGCGTGTCATGATTGTGCGGGGGGAGAAGGGTGTAGTTGTGGAGCAAGGGAAGGGGGCTGGGCGAGGGTGGGAGATGCAGGGGGTGGAGCACGAGGGGAGGGAGGGGGGGGAGGAGGGGATGGTGCAGTTGCGGGAGCGTCAGCGGGAGCACTTCCGCCTCGGGGGAGGCGAGCGCTTCCGCGCGGTGCGAGGAGTGAATGCTCGCGAGGGCGGGGGGAGCAATCACGGCATGGTGGAGTTTTACGCTCGCGATCCGCCGCCGCCGCCGTCAGCGCCGCAGCCGCATTTTTCAGTCGGCGGCCATGATCGAGGAGGCGGAGGAGCCGGCGGAGGAGGAGGGGGAGCAGGGGGAGGAGGAGGAGGAGTAGGAGGAGGGGGATGGAGAAGAACGAAGAAACAGAAGAGAATGGACTCAGAGGCTGCCACTTTCGCGGTGGGCTCGTTGACGCTCAAAAAAATGAAGGATGTCCACGTGGACAGAGGCGGAGGGCTCCACGTGTCACCACAGCCTACTGGGGTCGTGCCAGCTGTGCCGAAGATGCAGCTGACAGGCGCAGCAGGGGGGCCAACCTCAGCAGCGGCAGCAGGTGGAGGGGGAGGGGGAGGAGGGGGAGGAGGAGGACAGTCTGTGGAGCCGGAAGCAAAGGGAGGAGAGGGACGTGAGGAGGAGAGAGGAGAAGAGGGAGGAGCTTATGGGGATGGAGCGGAAGGGGGAGTCAAATGGAAAGCGCGGATCACAACTGGTCGAGATCCCATTCGTGAGGCTGAGTCCGAGGGAGGTGGGGAAGGAGCAATCCAGCCGGCGCCTCCACGCCTTGGGACCTTAATGCCCATTCCCAGGGAGTTCCAGTGGTACCGTGAGGAGAAGGGGGAGCTGCCAGGTGCGTATCATGGATGGATGGATATCTCGTTCTCTCCTTCTCGCATGTTCTCTCCTTCTTGCTCTGAATCCTCCGTCCTTCTGCTCTCTCTCTCTCTCTCTCTCTCTCTCTCTCTCTCTCTCTGTGTCTCTGTGCATCTGTGGTGGGCCCACTTTTCTCTCCGCTATACTTGTGTCATCCATAATCTTCCTCCTTGCTCCATATCCCTCTTTTCCCCGCCCACCTTTTTTTCCTCCCTCTTCTTTTCTCCCATTCTCTCTGTTCTTTCCCCTTGGTCCCGCCTTCTCT